AAATAAAATGGTACGCTTCCGATCAGGATATGTACTCGGGGCAGGGAATCGATCAACCAATTTTGGGCTGGAGGAAGGCCCGCTTGCTTCTAAGGGAGAGCTCTTCCTCAGTATCTCTAGATCGCTAAATCCAATGGAGTCCTCTGCAGCCGTCGAATGCACACCATCGAAAAAACCACGAAAAGGATCGTTCGATCTATGGACCCCTTCGAGGGGGCATTCTTTTGCAACCTGGGCCTCATTAAACATCAACTCTATGAACAAGGGCGAGTCGATAATCTCTATCGGGCCGAGTGCTTCCTGTGGGGCTTTGCCAGAATCTTGTGGAGTCTCAACTCTTGCCTCCGCCTCGGTCTCCCCTACATGATGAAATTCGTCCTCGCCTCTCCCTGGCTCGGAGGGCCCTTGCCCTTCGAGCTACGACGGCACACTGGTCATAAGATCAAAAGCTTTACCTTCCCCCTCAGATTCGTCCCTCAGTCGATGAAGTAAATCTAGAGACAATGCTCGACCACTGGTGCTTCCCTTGGGTTTACAAGCCAATCTTTTCTTTGGCCTATTCTTCTCAAGGGCCGGGGAACTCGGAGCCTTTTTCCTATTCTTTTCTTTATCTTGCTTCGGAGCAGGGGGATCAGTGTATATGTCGCTATCGGCTGATGGAGGCCTCATTTCGACGTCTTTTGATAGACCTACAAAGAGAATAAAACTATTCAGAGACCGATGATGTGAAAGTAAGATCAAATATAACTTAGAGAAGAAATTCTCACCATGATTATAGGCCTCCCATCGGCCCTTCGAGAGCTCACGCCATAAGTGCTCGGAATAAGGTCACTGTGTCACAATGCCCTCGACCCACTCCTTGAGTCGAGAAATGACATCCGACATTTGGGCAGCAACTGCATCATCACATAACATCGATGAGAACGAATGAAAAAGAAAAGCAATAAAAATCTTGAAGGCGAAGTTATGCTTACGTTACATATTCCATTTCTCAGGAAATGGAATATCCGCAGTCGGGATCAAGTTCGAGGTCCTCACTCGAACGAATCGGCCCAACTAGCCCCGGTCCCGATCCTCGTCGATGCTCGAGATTATGGCCTTAGTGGCTTAATGCGCGAGCTTGATTAATCCCCTTCGGTAAAGTTGAGGGCTATACAGGCGCATGCGGTGGTTGATAGTAAATGGACACCCCTCGATTTTGCTCACGAAGAAATGCAGAAGAATTACAATCCTACAAAACGAGGGGTGAATCTTCCCGAGAGTTGCCTCGTACCTTTTGCAAAAGGCTATGATAACTGGGTCTAAGGGACCGAGCGTGAAAGGGTAAGTGTAAACACTTAGAAAACCCTCCACGTAGGTGGTGATCGATTCCTCAGGGGTAGGGATCACAACGAGTTTATCTTCCCAGTGACACTTCTTTTTGACCTTATCGAGGATGTTGTCAGTAATAGTGTATATGTATCTCGAGACCGGCTCGGACCGACCCGGTACCAAAGGGGTGTTCTCAATCGTGAAGTCGGCCCTAGTTGGGCATCCCGAAGGTACAAACAACTTTAAAGGGGGTTCCGGTGTTGGTTCTTCAGTAGCAGCGGGTGAAACATTTTTCGATGGTTTCGAGAAAGAAGAGGTTTCTTATTTAGGAACAGATTTTGAAGTCTTTGACATTTTTTCTAAATAGAGGAAAGAAGAAAATATTGGTAAAAGAGGAGTTGTAACTAGCAGGTAACTTATGAAGAAATTTCAAAGAACTCACGCGAAAGGAAGTTCTTAAGCTTAAAACCAGAAAACCAGAAGATGAAGATGATGAAGTTCTGTTAAAATGCAAGAGCAAGAGTTGGAATGGAAAATGTTCTAATGAATGGATTGAAGGGTATTTATAGTATTCCCAAACAATGGTTTACATCACGGCGGTTCACATCCCAAGATGGTCGATCGTTAACTGACATACATTTAATGCCTCAAAGACTGGACTAATAGGATGTTTCCACTATTCTTATCACTTACGTCATGAATTCATCGTCATATTTTATCGAAGTAAGAATCGAAAGCTCGAATAGTTTCCCATCATTTGCTCTCCGAAAAATAAGGGGATTTTGACGTCATATTTTTGTCACTTGCGTCATGATATATCGAAGTGAGAATCTGAGGTTCATATCGTTTCTCGTCATCTACTCTCTGAAAAACGAGGGGACTATCTGTATACGGGTAAAACCGAGCTTGATATCCGATCGAGCTTCCGAACTCCTTGATTACGCCAGGGCCGAAATATCTGTGATCGAGTAAAGTCGATCTCAAAGATCGATCTGACGACTAACACCACCAACCAAGATCGACACATGGTAATTATGATTGAACCCAAAGCACTATCAAAATTAGCCATCGAAATCATCAGATTTGCCCTCGAGTTTGCCGAAGGCGTGACCAGTCCTGTTTCTAACGGTCTCGAAGAAAGCTCTGCTAGCTCATCCGACAAGGGTCCATGATTCTTGCCATTAACTAATCATTATGGCGAAAATTACAGAATTAGTCAAAAAAGGGAACCAACGGTCTTCAAAATCAAGGACTTATGTTTTTATAGTACAATTAAATAATACCCTAAGGGATAGGTCTCCCTCAATATATAAAGGGAACTTGACAATTCATGAAATACATGGTAACTCATATCAAAAGGCTATATCTTGTTATTTCTATCTTCGTCATAGTTCATTGCACTGCAACATCAATAATATTATTTCTAGCTCGGGGGAGATTAATCTCACAAGGTTAGAATTGCTCAAACTTGCGTGGTTTGCATTTATCTTTTTATTTTTTATTTTATAATCAATCTGATTTATTACTCTGTATCAAATTACATATCCTTAAAACCATAAAAAAATAAAATTAGTTCCTTCTTGATTATATAAATGGACACTTATTTTGGAACAAAATAAAAATGTAAAATGGTCACTGCTTGTGAACCAAAGGGAGTATGAAATTTTCGTGGTTATGAAATATTCTGCATTTATTTGGCAGAAGCTGTTAAACTGGTTTGGCATTAGTGGACATGTAGGCCAGTGGGAAGAAGAGGTGGTCTGAGGTTTTGGATGGAAAGGAACGGTAAAAGATTTCAACATATATACAAGGAGAGACAATTTTGACATAGTTAGAGAAATTGCATTGCAGTTGCATAATCTGGGAAATAGATAATATAAATGGAAACAAATGTTAGGATAGATTACATGGTTTTTCATGTTAGTAGGAATCCTATTTCACTAAAGGAAGCTACTGGATTTATATCCTTGCTAGACGAGAAATTCAGTAGTTAATAGTGTAGCACAGAATACTTTAGATGGATTTGATTTTGGTTATTTTTGTGAGATCCAATGAGCAGGTGGTGTGTATACTTACTTTTTGGATAATAAAACTTTTCCCTTTTAACCAAAAAATATAGTATATTGTAAATGATAATATAGGAAGTTAAAATTATTTTTTTTTCTAGAAATTTATAGAGGGTATGATATTATTCTTCCGAAACAAACTAAAAAGGAAATGTGCCATACATGAAATTATAGACCTCGGCCAATTAAGTGCAAAAATAAGTTAATATATATTTATTGATTTGATGTAAGTATCGTGTTATCGTACCAGCACCAATTATTCTCTATTCGAGAGGATGTGAATGCGTTAGCTAGTATCCACCGCCGGAATATGTGCATCCGGCGAGGCTGTAACGTAAAGACACATACTTAGATTACTTAATACCCAAGGTATAAACGCCGTAATACAGCAAAGGAAAGCAAAGAAGCATCACGAGTCTTGCCTGGCAGGCAAAGGGCAAACACCCCCAATTCTCTACTTTGTTATACAATTCTCTACTTTGTTATACAATTCTTGTGAGTGACAGATAAGAATTAGTAGGAGAAAGCAGGAAGTTGTTGACAACTCAAACTTACAAAACAGTCTCATCTACCATTCGTAATATTCTATCAACTGAAAGGGATGACTTGTACACAGTTTCCACTCCTTAAAAATAATTCAAAGAATTCCAAGCCGCGTAATGTGGTGCTCAAGAATATATATAAAACCACATTCACGCTGCACGTACTCTACACGTTGCATTCCTTGTTACGCACACAGAGATTTCACGCTAGAGCATATCCAGATTTCAATGGGAAAAGGCTTTTATTAATTTTCACTATTCCTATCAACAATTTTACTGGCCAACTTTTGTTTTTGTTTTGTTGGCAACAGAGACAAATCAAATATACGTTCTGCATATTTAACTAAATCATTACTTTCAACTCAAATTATACACTCAAAAAAACAATGTATTATACTTAATTTTATGAAAATAATTAACTCCTGGTCAGAAACACTCCAATGCACCATTCGTTGCTAAAATTGGTCATGAAAATAAATTGAGATGGAGCAAATATTAGAGGCAAGACCAACTATTTTGCTTGTTTTTTTTTCCACCAACTATTCCCTCCGTTTAAAGTTAGAGGTATTTTCCTTTTTAGTATGTTTAAAAATAAATGATAAATTTTTAAATTTAAAAATAATTCAACTTTAAACTTTTTATTTTATCAATTTTACCCTTAATAAGAAATTTTTATAACCACACAAATGTTACGGCCCCACAAAATTTTTACCCCTTAAATTTTTAAGACACAAGTTTCAAAAGTCTTCTTTTTTTCTTTAAACTCCGTGTCGAATCAAATTATCTCATCTAAATTGAAACGTGAGTATTTTACTAGTAATAATACTGATTAGAACGTGGAATTAGAAATAAACGCACATGGACAACCTTTTATTCACCACCCACAGAGAATTATTCTGGGTCGTGCTATGGCATGCACCACCATTACTATCCAACCGCGCGTCCTTTTAATTTCCACCTTACATACCGAAAGGCCCTAAATTATTATATCGCAAAAATTTGTTTATTAACACTTCAAATGATTGAGTAAAAGAATGATGAATTCATAATAAATAGAGATAAATAAATGTGTGTGTAAATATAAAATTTTTAAAAAAAGAATATATAATTAAGAGTGTGTAAAACCAATGAATGACCTACTCCCTGTACACAATAGCACCCGAAGAATAAAAGGGTAAAACAATCAATAATTCCTTTTCCTAAAAATAAAAATAAAATCACATGAACCAATTTACTAATTTGGCTAAAAACACAATCAATTCAATTCTCCTAAAGAATTTTCAACCCAACGAAAACAATAAACGCGGTTTCTTTGCAGGCATGGGACTTTCCACCTCTTGGTCAATCGGCAACAGTTGACTTTTCCGTCCGCAGTCAATACTCAGACCCAGTTGCAATTCCGGCGAAGCAGGCATGTTCAGGTCAAAGTCACGAAGCGTGTGAGTCGACGCGCCTCCGTCTGAAGTAGTCAAGACGCTTCCACTATGACCGCCGCCGCCGCCGCCGCCTAAGTCGCGGCTGTTACCACCGAGTTTGCCTTCATAGTGGCGGCGCTTGTGCCCACCCAAAGCTTGACCAGTAGGAAAAGCCTTGTGGCAAATAGAACAGACATGTGAACGACCAGTTGGATTAAGAGCAGAGATATTAACGGCGCTAGTGGAAGTTGAAGTTGAAGGATTGTTATCATCAGAGGCGGCGGCGGTGGTAGTAGTAGTAATTTTACGGTGACTTGCTTTATGCCCACCGAGTGCTTGATAAGAAGAAAAAGCCTTGTCACACACGCTACACTTGTAAGATTGCTCTGTTTGCTCTGTTGACACCTCTTTCTTATGAACCGGTGGCAACTCGGCGGTTTTTTTCTCGGATGTTTGTTGTGAAATAGTAGCAGCATCAGTTAAACCGGGTCCGGTTCCGTTTCCGCTGCGAGCGAGCATGATCAGACAGAGGGCTAAATACTCTTCTTCAGTTGGTGGGGTATCAATACGGGGTCGTTTCGATCGTTTTCCTTTAGCCCAAGAATCCAAATTATGAATTTCATCAACATCTACATAACGTGGTGGTAGAGTCGGCGTTGCCGTCGTAGGTGATTTCAAAGCTTCAAGAGCCATAATATTATCTTTAGTTGTCAAATTCAGAATTCTTGCGACAATTGTTGTAGAGAGAAGTAGAATAAAAGAGGGTAATTAACTAAAGGCTAAAGCAAGAGGAAAGTAATGAAAAAGGAGTTTGAGTGAGAGAGTGAAGGACTGAGGAGAAGGTATATATAGGGGTGGTGTGGAGGAGTTGGAAGTTGCGTAAGGAATGGCGGTGAAGGAGTTGTACAGGTTAATGATATGTATTATTATAATATACACGTAGTTAACTAGTTATGTGGATAAAGAATATTATATAATAATATAATAAAGAAAAAAGTATACTTTTTCCTAATTCCTTTAGGTTAAGGAAGAATTAAGGGGGGTTCACGCGTCTGGACATGAGTTGTAATAAGGGAGTATTAGTGAAGTCGGTCAAGAAAGTGCAGTGGTAAGAGCCAAGAGGTTGATATGGTAAAGCAACGACTCAGCTTTTTCATTGACATATTCAGGTCAAAAACGAAATAGTGGAACGTGTAATCAGTAGTTATCACCAAATTCACCATACAACTTGGAGGGAAATTATAAAGCAAAAAAAATATATTTTTGGAGATTTATTACGTCGGCAAATACGTAATCGGATATGCGTGCTTGCCAAGCCTCAAAATACTTTAATAAATTTGGAGATACGGAGCGATTGATAAAGGTAATTTTTTTTTGTAAAAGGCGTGAATGAGCATTAATACATACTGCAGGAGTGGAATATATGGTGTTTAAGTTATACACACATATAAGTTAGTTAATTATTGAAATACTTCTGTTTATGAAAAATTATTTACTATTTTCTTATAAGTTATTCCTGTAAGTATTTTACACTATTAGTATATAGGTTTAGATTATATCAAGAATTGTAGTTTAGATAACCATAAATAATTTAAGGAAATTTACCATTTTGATCACCTAGTTTTATATGGAACTTAATTTTATTTAAACTATCTGGAAAACAAGTGTAGGTAGAGGGCATGGGACTTATTTATGACGTGGTGCCTGCCTTATCTAGGAACTTGCTTTATGGTTAGACATCCATCTAGAAAAGACACCTAAGTTCTAACCCTTTGTAACAAATTTCTCCAAAATTAAACACGTGTTTTATGTATTTATCCTTGACTAATATTACACACAATTCTACAATGTAATAGATCTCCTAGGATTGGTAAGAAATAATTTTTGACATGGAGTATACTTTCTCTTTGTACTCTGGATAGCAGCTATTGTGATGTGGATTCTCGTAGATATTTATATCTACATACTTGTCAATAGCTGAAGCCGTTTTCCCGTCTATTTCCTTTTATTTTATTTTATTTTTTATTTTAACCGGTGGATAAGTCATAAGTGAGAAATAATTTTTAACTTCGAACATAAATTGATTTCAAATTCAAACACGTACCTATAATAAATGAGCGTAGTCAAACGACCAACTCCTTGCTTGTTCATCAATCGGGCATTTCTAATACCTCTGTACACTACTAAAAAATCGAAATTAACGACGAATTAGTCATAAATTATTAAGAAATTCAGTTAGTTATACGAGATATTTAATGAAGTTCGTAATTATTTTCAGCTTTTTTAGTGTATTTCCTTGTATGTGATATTGTTATTATTTAGAGAAAGTTCTATAGATTGGACCTTGATTTTCATAATTGTTTAATTATTACTATAATTGATACTCCATATTTATCCTCCAAAATTAAAACTTGAATAATCAATGTTTAAATAATTTGACCCTCGCAAACAATGCCACATAAGATGGTAAAGAAAGTGTATATTAACCTTTTGCGATTCAAGTACTAAACACTAGCTAGCCAGGTAGGATTGTGTTATACAAAATATATTATGCATGCATCTCATGTAATTTGCAATAAATTGATTTTAATTTTGGGTCAAAACCTGCGACAACTGTAATGTATGAACAAGTACATACGTTGTTCATACTTCATACACAAAACCAATGACAATATATGGAAGAGTGACTATGGAGGCACTCAGTACTAATTTGGTCGAATCTCTGTATAATCAACAAATTTAAAAGGTATATATATTTTTGCTAAACTCAAATCATGATATAGAAAAGTAATTGTACCACTGTAATATATATACGAGTATCAAATACAGACCTTGTTCACACAACAACGCCAAATGTTTCCCTTAAAATAGGTGAAATGAATATTTTTTTCCTCCGTTAAAAGTACTAAGGTGGATTTCTCGCCGTTATAATTTTTCTTCGAAAATGCCCATTAGAAAAACAGTACTTACTCTTCCACTAAAGGTAAAATCCCTAAGTTTCCATGATCTGGTTCGTAGTACGTACCGGTTCCTTCTCTGGGACAACAAACAGTAAGCTTAATATTATATATTTAGTTACATGTCTAATTAAGTTCTGACGCCATTCGTGACGCTTATTTGATGAAAGATGTTTTAAAATGGCTTCTTAATTCTAATCCCTTGCAACAAAATAAAGAGAACAAAGAAAAATACAAGTGAAGTGAAGAGTGGAATATTACTTCAGTGAAGGGCAACAGGACAAAAGCACGGCACGCAACGAGGCTAATGTTGTGGGCGATGGATATTGCAACACGTGGAAATAAGAATATCTCAAGAAAAGGGAAATAACAGAACGACATGTGGCAGTAGGAGAAGGCATTTGGGGGCTGTAGGTTACGTTCCTGAATGTTTGGGACAAGTAAAGATAAGAGTAGATAGAGCCGTCCAAGCACCAACAAAGTTGACAAACTCAACACTTGCTACTCTCACATTAAGTGTAACTACCAAATTAATTTTACCGAGAATACTTGCTCTATACCACTTTTACCACTATAAAGCAATCTAATCATAAAAGTCACAATAAAGTGATCAGAATACATAATATTTTTAAATACGCTTTAAGTGATGGAATAATAGGGAAAACGAGTATCTTGTAGTAGTAGCAGTAGTCAGGGCAGAGTTAGGCGGGCAGAAGGGGTTGAACCCTTCGCCGAAAATTACGCTGTATATCAGGTCATTGGATATATATATATATATNTTTTTATTTTTAGAATCCCCTTAATAAAAATCTTGCTTTCGTCACAAATAGTAGTATTTATTTGCTTAATGCAAATGCGGGGTATTCCCCACCCTAAAGTCGTCACACTTTTTTTCTAAAATTTTTATGTTTTGTGTTGTGATCCTGCCTCTTCGATCGGGTGAGTTCGAGTCACCAAGATACAGTTTCTTTGCTTGATTATACATATTCTAGAATATTAAGTTCACGAGCAATGCAATTAGGATTTGGATTGATTATGCTAAAGATGAGCTATATTAAAGCAAATAAGGATAAAATCACTTTCTATAATTTATTTGAAAAAAAAACGATTTATAATCAATTAACTATCAGCGAAGAACCAAATCCAATTATTTTTTAATTATATTTTTAATTGAAGAAGTTTGACCCCCTCTAATATTCTTAAATCTCTTTTGGCCGCTGAATACTACAGTATTATATATTTGAACAATGTCTACTACATTAGTGTGTTTTTATAGGGTAAAATATGTTATATTAAATGATCACATAAGGAACTGACACGCGGAGCCGAAGGTAGAGGATAACTAAAATCGAAGGCAACTATTTCGTTTGTTACCGGAAAGAATGGTACTCATAAAGATGAAATAAATGTCTGCCACTCGGTAGCATTTAAAGAAGAATATTCTACAATATTTAGTACACTGTCCGTTATAAATAATTTGACATTCATGTCCGTTGTTACACATTCTTCGATGACCCTCATAATTGACATTAAAGAAGGGCTCGATCCTAGTACCTTGTTCCCTAGGTGCAACTATAAATAGTGAACTCCATTATCATTGTAAAGGAGAGGAATTTTCTAGCAAACTTACGCTATAATCTATTCAAAGCTTAATACAATTTTATCTTCTTGCTTTTTGATTTCACCGTTGTTGTGCGCGGAAGCCTTGGTCCCGGAACTATTGTTTCTGCTATTTTATCTCCATCTCAAGGCTAAGTATTACATATTTATTTAATTCTTCTATTATTTCATGATCAAATTAATTCACTAGTTTAGAAACTACGTATAAATCAATTGTACTATTTTACGGGTAAACAGTTTAGCGAACGTGAATTGGTGGATTTCTTGTCAAGGAACATAATTTGCAAGTCCTTATCAGAAGAACGACGAACGTGAAGTGGTGGATTTCTTGTGAGAGAACATAATTTGCTGGAATACTAAAAGAGATAGTCTGCGATAACGGGCCACAATTTATAGGCGCATATATCACGAAGTTCCTTGAAGACTTGAAAATTAAAAGGATCACATCTTCGCCCTATCATCCAAGCGCAAATGGTCAAGCGGAATCAACGAACAAAGTGATTATACAAAATCTCAAAAAGAGATTGGAAGCATCCAAAGGTAAATGGCTTGAGGAACTGCCTTGAGTATTATAGGCGTACCGAACAACGGCCAAATTGAGCACATTAGAGATTCATGAAGAGGCAAATAACGAAGTAATTTTAGTCAGTTTGGAGCTACTCAATGAGCGCAGGGACTTGATGCATATAAGGATGGCAGCTCAAAAATAGAGAATAGAAAGATATTATAATCAAAGAGTCAATCTCCGTTATTTCAAAGTGGGAGACTTGGTTCTAAGGAAAGTAAGTCAAAACACTTGGGAACTCAACGCAGGGAAGCCAGGTCCAACATGGGAAGGCCCCTACCGGGTTTTAGTTGTCACTTGGAAAGGTTAATACGAGTTGGAGAACCAAGATGGAAAAAAGTTGCCAAGCAACTAGAAAGTGGCACACCTCAAGAGATATTATTGCTGATGAATATCGCCTGTACTGAAAATATGTGCTGCACTCTTTTTTTCTTCGTCTAGTTTTTGTACCAATTGGTTTTTTCTGGCAAGGTTTATAACAAGGCAACAACGGAAAGCATACTACAAAAAAAGTTTCAACAACAACAATAAGACCTTCTAATAGCAAAGCACACAAGTGAAGAACCACTTCGGAGCTGTTATATAATCTTTGGCTCGATAGCAAAGTTCCCATTGGGAAGTTAAGTTTGCTATCAAGCAAAAATTACCCGACCGTTCAAAAGTGCAAACCACTAAGGTATTGTTAGATAGTCT